AAAAAAAAAAAAAAAAAAGACTGGGCGTAGTGGCTTATACCTGTAATCCGAGCACTTTGGGAGGCCGAGGTGGGTGAATCACCTGAGGTCAGCCTGACCAACATAGTGAAGTCCCGTCTCTACTAATAATACAAAAATTAGCTGGGTGTGGTGGCCTGTACCTGTAATCCCAGCTACCTGGGAGGCTGAGGCAGGAGAATCGCTGGAACCTGGGAAGCAGAGAGTTGAGATTGCGATCTTGTTGCACCCCAACCTGGGCGACAAGAGCGAATCTCTGTCTCCGAAAAAAGAAACCCCAGAGTTCATGTGAGGGCAGCATGCGAGGACTGGTCTGGGAAGAACTGGCCATTCCTTGGGCCTCCTGGCCCAGTGTCCACAGTGCTAGGGCTGCAGTGACAGCTTTTTATCATTACAGGTGTAGGTGGAGCTTTTGCTGGAATCCCAGGTGAGGCAAGGCTGGTGGGAGAAGCAGGGTGGCCAGCCAGGCAGACGCTCTTACCTTGGGAGGGGCTGGGCACCCAAGATCCTATCCAAACCTGCCCAATTTCCCCCATGCCTGCTGCGCCAGGCCTTGAGTGGCTGTAGCACAAAGTGGCACCCATCCCAGGCCTGCTGCCTCTGCTGGCATAGCAGCCCAAAGTCCAAAGGAGTCCAGAAAACCCGCCAGCCTGTGCCAAGGGCTGCAGGCCCGAACTGGGGCCCAGGCCCCAGGAGGGAGAGAATCCCGTAGCTTCCTGGAGGAAGTGGCCTGTTGCTGGGAGTTTCTCAACTGACCCATGATGGAGATTCAGGGAGTCCTGCGAAGCAGGATGGTTTCTGGATGCTGTAGCAAGCTCCTTCTGTCTGAGCAGAAAGTGGAGTGGGTGGAGGAGGGTTTGGAAGGGGCTGCTGGGACCAGAACTTGCTCTCTTTAATCCCACAGGAGTTGGACCCTTTGGGGTACAGCAACCTGGAGTCCCACTGGGGTACCCCATCAAGGCCCCCAAGCTGCCCGGTAAGTCAGAGGGATGATTCAAGATGCACCACTCGGCCAGGTGCGGTGGTTCATGCCTGTAATCCCAGCGCTTTGGGAGGCCAAGGCGGGCAGATCACTTGAGGTCAGGAGTTCAAGACCAGCCTGGCCAACATGGCGAAACCCCGTCCCTACTAAAAATACAAAAATTAGCCAGGTGTGATAGTGCAGACCTGTAATCCCAGGTACTGGGGAGGCTGAGGCAGGAGAATCTCTTGAACCCGAAAGGCAGAGGTTGCGGTGAGCTGAGATCGCGCCACTGCACTCCAGCCTGGGTGACAGAGTGAGACTCTGTCTCCAAAAAAAGAAAACAAGAAGAAGAAGAAGAAATGCACCACTCACTGCGCCTCCCTGCACAGAAGTCAGCCTGGGTACAGGTGTCTCTGGTGACAGGGAAGGGGTATTGAAGCCTCTATATGGTCACCTGCCAAGGAGAGCTTGGGAAAGTCGTCTGCAGATATTGGACTCACACACGCACGCTCATGCACAGAGACCCATAGCCCCGATCTGAAGCTATTATGCTGTTAGAAAGGAACACGGTTAATTGGAAAGATCCCTCTAACATCCACCCCCTCATGCTCCTGCCCCTACCTCTGCAATCAGCTTAGACAATGAGATGCTTTCCACTGGGGAGGGGGTGTAAGGAAAATACTAAGACTCCAGGGACATGATGGGGCTTGAATTTGTAGGGGGATGTGTGTTCCATCGGGCCCCAGGGGCAGAAGTGTCCTCTGCCTCCTCCACCCAGCACCTCTGCTCTCCTGGGAGCAGCTCAGGACCCTGGTGTGGGAGGTCTCAGGCCTCAGCACCTGTCGGGGCAGATCTGTCCACCCAGGTTGGTAGGAGCCCAGCAAGGCGTGGGGAAGCCCCTGAGCTTGCTCTGTCCTCTCTCCAGGTGGCTATGGACTGCCCTACAGCACAGGGAAACTACCTTACGGTGAGTGAGACCCTTCTAGACTGTGGGCTTCCAGCTCTTTCCCACTCTAGGGTCCTAGCAAGGGTGCTGTGCTTCCAGCCCTGGGCCAGGAGAGCACCTCGCTGGGGCAGGGTTGGGGTCTTGGAGTGGGAATCTCAGGAGGAAAGGGCATAGACTTTGCACTCAGCATGGGTCTCCATCCCTGCCCTCCCACCTATCAATAATGGGACCTTAGGTGAGCTGTGTTCCTTCTTTGAGCCTCTGTGTCCTCATCTGTAAAATGGACAGAACAATTCCATACACGTATTTGTATTTGTTTTCACTCTAGCTAGGGGTGACAGGTGCAGACTCAGGACAGCTTGGGCCCCGAGGGCAAGGCAGGGGGAGGGGGAGGGCAGCAGTGGTGGCGTCTGCACAAATAACCACCAAGACTCTCTGTTTTGCAGGCTATGGGCCCGGAGGAGTGGCTGGTGCAGCGGGCAAGGCTGGTTACCCAACCGGGACAGGTAAGGAAAGCCTCACCTTACTTCCAGCCAAGGGATCACTGATCTTCGGGGCTCCAGAGCCCTGGGGTGGGTGAGGTTCTCTCCTGAAAGCAGAGCAGCCCACCCTGCATCCAGACCCTGGTGCAAACCTGCAGCAGGATCCTGGGGGAGGGGTGGGGCAGCTCCATCAGCCTCTTCCAGGTCTGAAGCCCCCATATATACCCGCATGTCAGTGGATTGGCTCTCTCGGGACTGGAAACAAGTGGGTTCTGGACATACAGCAACACTGTTTCAAGGTCTCTCCCCTCTGCTCCCCTCCTCCAGGGGTTGGCCCCCAGGCAGCAGCAGCAGCGGCAGCTAAAGCGGCAGCAAAGTTGGGTGAGTGCCCCTGGAGTCCCCACCTGGTGGCCTCCAGCCCCCTAGCCTCTCCATTCCCATTACTATTGAGAGCCTGCCTCATAGATGAATGACCAAAGTGGCCCCTACTTATCCCCATTTACTCAAAATTTTCAACACCACCCATCTATCTATCCCTCCCTCCAAACATTCTTCCATGCGTCCATGCATCCATTTATCCTTCTATCCGTCTATTACTTTCTCCATCCCTCCCTCCTTCCATCCATTTCTCTATGCATCCATCTATCCATCCATCCACTCATCCAGCCATCCTTTCACCCATCCATCTATCCCTCCCTCCATCCATTCCCATTCCTCCATGCATCCATCTATCCATCCATCCATTCATCTACTCATCTACCCACCCATGCATCCATCCATCCACTCATCCACCTGTTCATTCATCCATCCATCTCTCCCTCCATCCATTCATCCATCCATCCCTCCATTCATTCCTCTATGCATCCATCTATCCATCCACCCACTCATCTATCCATTCATCCACTTATCTACACATCCATGCATTCATCCATCCATCCATCCATCCACTTATCCATCCATTCATCCATCCATCAATCCCTCCCTCCCTCCATTCTTCCATCCATCTATCCACACATCCATCCATTCCTCCATGCATCCATCTATCCATACACCCATCCATCCATCCATCCATCCCCTCATCCATCCATCCATCCCCTCATCCATCCATCCATTTATCCATCCATCACTCCCTCGCTCCATTCATCCATCCATCATCTATCCATCTATTCCTCCGTGCACCCATTCGTCCATCCAACCATTCCTCCATACATCCATCTATCCCTCCATCCGTTCCTCCAGGCACCCATCCATCCATTTCTCCATGCATGCATCCATCCTTCCATCTCTCCATGCATGCATCCATCCTTCCATCCATCCATCCATCCACCCACCATCTGTTCCTCCGTGCATCCATTCATCCATTCCTCCATACATCCACCCATCCACCCACCCATCAATTCATCCCTCCATCCATTCTTCCATCTATCCATCCACTCATCCATCCATTCCTCCATGCATCCATCTATCCATTCATACATCCACTCATCCATCCATCCATTTACCCATCCATCCACTCATCCATCCATCCATCCATCCATCCATCCATCCATCCATCACTCCCTCCATCCATCCATCTGCCCATTCTTCCATGCATCCCTCTGTCCATTCCTCCATGTACCCATCCATCCATTTCTCCATGCATGTATCCATCCTTCCATCCATTCATCCATCCATCCATCTACTCACCCATGCATCCATCCACCCGTCTATCCGTTTCTCCATGCATCCACCCATCCATCCACTCATCCATCCATCCATTTACCCATCCATCCACTCATCCATATATCCATCCATCCATCCATCAATCCATTCATCCATCAATCCATCCATCCATCACTCCCTCCATCAATTCTTCCATCCATCCATCCATCTGCCAATTCTTCCGCGCATACCTCCATCCATTCCTCTATGCACCCACGCATCCATTTCTCCATGCATGCATGCATCCATCCATTCCTCCATGCATCCATGCACCCATCCATCCATTCCTTCATTTATTCATTCATTCATTCATCCATTCATTCCTCCATGCGTTCATCCATGTCTGCTTCCTTCCCTCCCTCACTGCCTCCTCCCACACATCCATCTCAGAGATCAGGAACAAGCAAGAGTTCTTGTAGAGAATATAGCCACTGTTGTGGGAGTCAAGAAATGGGAGGCATTTTTTTCTACCTGGGGAAGGGCTTCCCAGAGAAAGTGATGTGTGATTCAGGCCTTAAAAAATAAAGATGGAGCTTACTATGTGGTTAAAACAGGAAAGAGGAGGCCAAGCAGAGGGAATGGGTACCATGGTGGTTAGAAAGATAATTTTAGGTGATGCATATATAAGCATTTAAAACATTTAATAGTTATATATCAATTTAATGTGTACTATAAAAATTTTAACTCACTGCTCAGGCCAGTGAGCTCTTGGCTAGCATGGCTGCAGATGGAATGTGGTATTCCTGTGCCCGTGCAGTGAGTGGAGTGGGCATCTGTCCCCCGCCCCAGGTAGTGCCCACCTCAGGGTCAGACCACTAGGGCTGAAGTCCTCCTTCATCCTCAGCCCCAGGGAGGCCCTTTCCTTATCTCCCCACCAGTCCGAGAGGCAGGAATGTGGGGAGAAGCCTGGAGCTGGGCCTCCCAGCGGAAGCCCTGCAGGCCCCCCTCCCAGCACCGGAGGCTCCTTGGCCCCAGCGGCTGGTGGGACGGCTGGAATGTGGGAGCGGGAGAGCGGGGCTGTGAGGGGCTGCCAGAGCCAAGCGGCCAGGCGCTTGGATTACAAACTTGGCTGCATCTTCGGAACACAGGGAGAGGAAGTCTTGAACATTCCTGCAGGGGCCCCTCTGGCCCAGGGAGCGGCCACTTGTGGTTTCTCAGTATGTGGCAGTGATTAGAATGGGATTTGTCTGAAAACATGCAAGTCCCTTAATGAGCGTGTTGAAATGGACACTTTGGGGGAGAGTCAAGGAACAGTAGAGTCGGGTGGGGGCCTCCCCAAACAGGCCCATCTGGAGACACCTGGGCCCCATTCCTGGATGAGATCGCGCTGGTGAAAATGCCGGTGTCTAAGTGGCCATCCTACCTGTCCTCAGGAGGGTCCTTGGGAAAGTACATTGCACTGTCCCCATCTCAACAGGTGCTGGAGTCCTCCCTGGTGTTGGAGTGGGCGGTGTTCCTGGCGTGCCTGGGGCAATTCCTGGAATTGGAGGCATCGCAGGTAACATCTGTCCCAGCAGGGGGTGGGTGTGTCCTTGAGATGGCCACAAGGCAAGGACCTCACCCTCTGTGGCTGTGTTTTCAGGTGTTGGGACTCCAGCTGCAGCTGCAGCTGCAGCAGCAGCTGCTAAGGCAGCCAAGTACGGTGAGTGCCTCCCGGGGTGGCAAGCCCACAGCTCGGGCTCCTGCATGGACCTCGGAGACCCTAGCCCTAAAGCCAAATGGACTTGGTCTTTGTCCCTTCCGAAATACGCATTGTTCATGCCTCCTTACCTTTGCTCCTTCTGATCACTCTACCTGAGATGCCATCTCTATTGTTTTGCCCTGATTAACTCAGCAGAGGGAGGGGACCCTGCAGAGGGGACCTCGCTCCCCCGACTCCATCCCCTCCAGGGCTGGCCCACAGGTGTCTGCTGCATCAACTAAGTGGGTGCCCAGTGGAGGGAATTCTGACTGTGCTTTAGAAATAGATCACATTCTAGCTATGCGCAGTGGCTCACGCCTGTAATCCCAACAATTTGGGAGGCAGAAACCAGGACTTTGAGACCAGCCTGAGCAACATACTGAGACCCCATCTTTCCAAAAATTATTTTAAAATTATCTAGGCATGGTGGCACATGCCTGTGGTCCCAGCTACCTGCGAGGCTGAGGTGGGAGGATGGCTTGAGCCCAGTAGTTCAAGGCTGCAGTGAGCTCTGATCATGCCACTGCACTCCAGCCTGGGTAAGTGAGAATTTGGTTCAAATAAAAAAGGAAAGAGAGACAGAAAGACAGAGGAAAGGAAAGGAAAGGGAAGGGAAGGGAAGAAAAGGGAAGGGAAGGAGGAAGGGAAGGGAAGGAGGAAGGGAGGGAGAGAGAGAGGCAGGAAGGAAAGAAAGAAAGGAAGAAAGAGAAAGAAAGAAAGAAAAAAGAAAGAGAGAGAGAAAGAAAGAGAGGGAGGGAGGGAAAGAAAGAGAAAGAAAGAAAAAGAAAGAAAGAGAAAGAAAGAAAAGAAAGAAAGAAAAAGAAAGGAAGGAAAGAAGGAACGAAGGAAGGGGAAGGAAGGAAGGAAGGGAAAGGAAGGAAGGAAGGAAGGGGAAGGAAGGAAGGAAGGAAGAAAGGAAGGAAGGAAGGAAAGAAGGAAGGAAGGAAAAAGAAAAGAAAAGAAAAAGAAAGAGATCACACTCCTCCAGCCCACAGATTCAAATCCCTAGAGCTCTTTAGGGACCCTCTTAGTCTCTCTGCATCTCTCTGATGAGTTGGATCCATGCAGAGGAAATGTCAACCCACCTGCAGTCGTGCACTCGGGACCAACTGTCACTTCCATACTCTACTAACCACCCTTGGAGCCCTCTGAGGTTCCCATAAGTTAGGAAAACAATGCTTTTTCTTCCACAGGAGCTGCTGCAGGCTTAGTGCCTGGTGGGCCAGGCTTTGGCCCGGGAGTAGTTGGTGTCCCAGGAGCTGGCATTCCAGGTGTTGGTGTCCCAGGAGCTGGCATTCCAGGTGTTGGTGTCCCAGGAGCTGGCATTCCAGGTGTTGGTGTCCCAGGAGCTGGCATTCCAGTTGTCCCAGGTGCTGGGGTTCCAGGTGAGCTGGGCTGTGTGTGTGTGTGTGTGTGTGTGTGTGTAAGAGAGAACTATTGAGACTATTGCCAAAATTTGTGCATTCTCCCTAACACCTTAACCATCTGCCCATACCCTTGACCACATCTCATCCCCTCATCTTCTCTTCCTTGGGTTATACCAATCTGCTAATTAGCTTCTAACCAGTATCATATTTTCCAATTGACCTTCCGGTTATCAGTGTTCTCTGGGGGGCAGGAACCGTGTCTTTTTCAACTCCATATTCCTAGCCCTTAGCTGAGTAAGTGTTCAGTTTATGGTGGATAGAAGGGTAAGTGGGTTGATAGATGGATAAGTGGATAAATGGGTGGGTAGATGGATGAATGGGTGGGTGGATGAATGAATGGATGGATAGATGGGTGTATGAATGGGTGGGTGGATGGATGGATGGATGGATGGATGGATGGATGGATGGATAGATAAGTGGATGGAGAGATGAGTAGGTGAGTGGATGTGTGGGTGGATGGGTGGCGGATGGATAGATGAGTGGATGGATGGGGGCATGGACGGATGGGAGGATGGATGGAAGAATGATGATGAATGGGTAGATGGATGGGGGATGGATGGATGGGAGGCTGGATGAAAGAATGGGTGGATGGATGGGTAGATGGATGGATGGGTAGATGGATGGATGAATGAGCACATGGTTGGAGGGGCAGATGAATGGGTGGGTGGAAGGGTAGGCAGGCAAATGCAAAATGGATGGTTGGATAGAAGGTTAGACGAATGGATAGATAGGCAGATGGGATAAGCTGGTAGATAGATGAGTGAACAGAGAGTTAGGTGGTTGGGTGGGTGAATTGAGATCCAAGGATAGACAGACAAATGGACAGCCGGGCGCGGGTGGCTCACACCTGTAATCTCAGCACTTTGGGAGGCCAAGATGGGCAGATTACCTGAGGTCAGGAGTTCGAGACCAGCCTGGCCAATATGGTGAAACCCTGCCTCCACTAAAAATAGAAAGAAATTAGCCAGGCGTGGTGGTGGGCTCCTGTAATCCCAGTTACTTGGGAGGCTGATCAGGAGAATTACTTGAACGGGGGAGGCGGAGATTGCAGTGAGCTGAGATCACACTATTGCACTCCAGCCTGGGCCACAAGACTGAGACTCCGTCTCAAAAAAAAAAAAAAGACAAATGGACAGGTATAGAGGTGGGTCATTGGGTAGATGGATGATGGAGGTGGCTGGGTATACAGACGGGCAGGTGGGGGACATCATCAGTGCATAAATGGAGATATAGCCAAGTCTATGTTGGCGTGAAAAGAAGGCGGCCCAACACACAGATGGGTAGACAGACGGATACATACTGTGCAGCTCTCCTTCAATCTCTCCTGAGCATTTGTGTCCCTCTTGGTCTCTCCAGGGGCTGTGTCACCAGCTGCAGCTGCTAAGGCAGCTGCGAAGGCAGCCAAATACGGTGAGTGCTATGCTGACAGCTCTGCCCCTCACTGTCCTGACCTCTACTTACCAGAACTAAAGGACTCTCCTCTACTTGCCCAGAGAAGGGAAGTGACTTGCCCAGGGTCACTGAGCAAGTCACCGGCAGGCCTCAGGACGATGTCTCCCCCGTTTGTCTTCTACCACAGGGCCACGGGGCTGAGTGGTGGGAAAGTCCCAGCATGGCATTCCCAGTGGGGACAGTGACCCTGACCCTCCCTGCTCTGGCCAAGGCCCTCTCAGAGGAGCCCAAAACTGTCTGGGGATTCTGCCAATAGTCTCTCTGCATCCAACAAAGGGGGGCTTCCCCAAGTGCTCAGAGAGGAGAGGGGCCGGAGGAGGACTGAAGAGTGTCCATAAAAGCTTCATGGCGGGGCTGGGTGCAGTGACTCACATCTGTAATCCCAGCATTTTGAGAGACCAAGGTAGAAGAATCGCTTGAGGCTGGGAATTAGAGACCAGCATGGGCAAAATAGCAAGACCCTGTCTCTACATAAAATGTAAAAATTAGCTGGGCATAGTGGCATGTGCCTGTTTTTTCCAGCTACTTGGGAGGTCAAGGCAGAAGGATCACTTGAGGCCAGGAGTTTGAGATCAACTTGGGCAACATAGCAAGACCCCATCTCTACAAAAAATAAAAAATGAATTAAAATTTTTTTTCTTTTTTTTCTTTTTTTTTTTTTTTTTTCTGAGATAGAGATTCACTCTGTTGCCCAGGCTGGAGTGCGGTAGCATGATTTTGGCTCACTGCAACCTCTGCCTCCCAGGTTCAAGCAATTCTCATGCATCAGCCTCCCAAGAAGCTGGGATTACAGACGCACGTCACCATGCCTGGCTAATTTTTGTATTTTCAGTAGAGACGGCTTTGCCATGTTGGCCAGGCTGGTCTCAAACTCCTGGCCTCAAATGATCCACTTTCCTCGGCCTCCCAAAGTGCTGGGATTATGGGCATGAGCCACCGCACCCAGCCAAAAAAAAAATTTTTTTTTTTTTTTAGACGAAGTCTCACTCTGTCACCCAGGCTGGAGTGCAGTGGCGTGATCCCAGCTCAAGTGATTCTCCTGCCTCAGCCTCCCATGTAAACGGGATTACAGGTGCACACTACCACACCTGGCTGATTTTGTGTTTTGAGTAGAGATGGGGTTTCACCATATTGGCCAGGCTGGTCTCAAACTCCTGACCTCAGGTGATCCACCCGCCTCAGCCTCCCAAAATGTTAGGATTACAGGCATAAGCCACTGTGCCTGGCCCAAAAATTTTTTTTAAAGGCTTCATGGTGGAGGCTGCGGGGAACCCAGGCATCCCAGTTTTCTGTCTTTTATGGACAAGGCCTGGGGGAAACTTGCATCCTCTTTCCCAGTCCATCAACATCCCTCAGAGCCTGCCCAGCCTCTCTCACTGAGCTTCCTTTCCATTTGGCTCCCTTCCCTCTGCAGGGGCCAGGGCCGGAGTCGGAGTTGGAGGCATTCCTACTTTTGGGGTTGGAGCTGGGGGCTTTCCCGGCTATGGTGTCGGAGTCGGAGGCATCCCCGGAGTCGGAGGTGTTCCCGGAGTCGGAGGTGTCCCGGGAGTTGGCATTTCCCGTGAGCCTTCGTCACATCTGGGGACATGGGTTGAGAAGAGATGGGGGCTTCTTGTCTGCTCAGCTCTGCAGGGGCAGTGGGGACTGCAGATCGGGCTTGAATGTGCTCAGGGAAGAGTTGGGGGAGAAGCGAGGTCGTCCATGCCTTACAGGGCAGAAGAGCTTTAAACACGGCTCGGAGGAGACCCAGGCAAGGCTTCTGAGGGTCTCTTTCTTTCTCGTTTCCTTGTAGCTGAAGCTCAGGCAGCAGCTGCCGCCAAGGCTGCCAAGTATGGTAAGTGCCCCTGCCCTGCCTGACCCCAAGCCCTGCTTTCCTGTGGGGCTCAAGGACCAACCTCAGGGCAAACTGACTCCCAGGCCTCCGGGACTGAAATGGCCTGGACCAAGGTCACGAGGCCCCTGCCCCATCTTCCAAAGCTACACTCCACTCTTACTGTCCTTTTCAGATGCTTCCTGTTAGGACTGTTGGTGACCTGCTCATCACCCCACCCCCCACCCCCAGAACCGAAGGTGCCTGGCCAGGCTGGGTGGCTCACGCCTGTAATCCCAGCACTTTGGGAGGCCGAGGCAGGTGGATCCCTTGAGGCCAGGGGTTCGAGACCAGCCTGGCCAACATGGTGAAACCGTGTCTCTACTGAAAAATACAAAAATTAGCTGGGCATGGTGGCAGGCACCTATAGTCCCAGCTACTTGGGATGCTGAGGCAGGAGAATGACTTGAACCTGGGAGGTAGAGGCTGCAGTGAGCAGAGATTACACCATTGCACTCCAGCCTGGGTGACAGAGGGAGACTCCGACTCCAAAAATAAAAATAAATAAATAAAAAGAAACGAAGGTGCCAGGAAGCCGTTCTCTTCTTCCCCCGATTCTCCCACCCACCCATGCTCCCCCAAGAAGTGAGCACTGGGAGGGGCGAGGCTGAAAGTTCTCCACTCCCCCAGGTGCTGCAGGAGCAGGAGTGCTGGGTGGGTTGGTGCCAGGTGCCGGAGGCGTAGTCCCAGGTGTGCCAGGCGTGGGAGGAGTGCCAGGTGAGCTGTGTTCTCCAGCCCAGAGACCGGTTTAGTTTGTCTCACGGAAGGGTCCCTGGAGTTGACCAAGGTCGACTGCACCATTTTACAAACGGGAAGACTGAGCCTAGAGATGGGAAGCAGGGAGGGGTGCGAGAGACCACTCCCTCACCCCTTCTCGTCACACCTCTAGGAGTGGGGACCCCAGCAGCTGCAGCTGCTAAAGCAGCCGCCAAAGCCGCCCAGTTTGGTAAGTCCCCCTCACCCCCATCATCGGCTCACGGGGCGCTGCCTTCTCATGTGCCCTGCTCTGGGATCTGACCGCCCAGCTCCCTGTTCCTTTCCACCCGCCTTAGGCTGCCACGTTCTGGGGTGGGCCCTCCTTAGAGCTTTTGGTCCCCTGATGACCTCTAGGAGTGTGGGTGACGTTTCTGATTAGGGAAGCAGGGTGAGCAGTGTGAGCCTCCCTGTTCCTAAAGTCCCTGGTGCCTCCCAGGCTATTAGGGACCTGACCTCATGCTGAGCTCCAGCTCCTCTGTGACGGACTCCAGTTCTCCCCCTTCTCCTTCTCTTTCTCCTTCTCCTTCTTGTGCTCCTCCTCCTCCTCTTCCTTCTTCTTCTTTTCTTTTCCTCCTCCTTCCCCTTCTCCCTCCTCCTCCTCCTTCTCGTTCTTCTTCTCCTTCCTCTTCTTTTTCTTTCTTCTTCTTCTCCTCCTGCTTATTTTCCTTCTCCTTCTCCTCCTCCTGCTTCTTCTCCCTCCTTCTCCTTCTTCTTTCTTCTTATTCTTCTCCTTCTTCTTTCTTCTTCTTCTTCTCCTCCTCCTCCTTCTTCTTCCTCTTCTTCTCCTTCTTCTTTCTTCTTCCTTCTTCTTCCTCCTTCTCCTCCTCCTCCTCCTTCTCCTTCTTCTTCTTCTTCTCCTCCTCCTCCTCCTCCTCCTTCTCCTTCTCTCCTTCTTCTTCTTTCTCCTCCTTCTTCTCCTTTTCCTCCTCCTTTCTTCTCCTCCTTTTCCTCCTTCTTCTTTCTTCTCCTTCTTCTTTCTTCTCCTTCTCCTTCTTCTTCTTCCTTCTTCTTGAGATAGGGTCTAGCTCTGTCACCCAGGCTGGGGTACAGTGCCACAATCATAGCTCACTGCAGCCTCAACCTGCCAGGCTCAAGCAATCTGCCTGCGTCTAACTCCCAAGCAGCGACCACAGGTGCCCACCACCATGCCTGGCTCATTTTTTAATTTTTTTGTAGCAACAGTGGTCTCACTATGGTGATCAGGCTGGTATCAAACTCCTGGGCTCAAGCGATCCTCACACCTCTGCCTCCCAAAGTGCTGGGATTACAGGCTTGAGCCACCACGCCCAGCCTGCAGTACTTCTTGTTCCCCATCTTTTGCTATATTTGAGGGCCACCCTGGTAGCCCCAGGTGCCCACACTTTTCTGAACACGGCAAATTGTAGCAGCACTAACTGTAGAGCTCAACTGTATATCAGGCCCTGGGCATGGGGTCTGTAGGCCTTGGCACTAGGGACCTGTGGGCTAAAAGGTTCAGATCAGAATCTCTAAGGCTGAATAGGCCAGACAGCATTTCAACTGCAGGCCTGCTGAGCCCCAAATTCTTACACACAGCAATCTTTATTACATGTTTATTTGAGACAGGGTCTCACATCATCGCCCAGGCTGGAGTGCAGTGATGCTGTCATAGCTCACTACAGGCCTCAAACTCCCGACTTAAGCGATTCTTCCCCCTTAGTATCCCTAGTAGCTGGGGCTACAGGCACGTGCCACCATGCCCAGTTTAAAAAAAAAAAGAGGCCGGGCACGGTGGCTCAAGCTTGTAACCCCAGCACTTTGGGAGGCTGAGACAGGCGGATCATGAGGTCAGGAGATCGAGACCATCCTGGCTAACCCGGTGAAACCCCGTCTCTACTAAAAAATACAAAAAACTAGCCAGGCGAGGTGGCGGGCGCCTGTAGTCCCAGCTACTCGGGAGGCTGAGGCAGGAGAATGGCGTGAACCTGGGAGGCGGAGCTTGCAGTGAGCCAAGATCCGTCCACTGCACTCCAGCCTGGGCGACAGAGCGAGACTCCGTCTCAAAAAAAAAAAAAAAAGAAAAAAAATTTGTAGGCAATCCTCTCACATTGGCCTCTCAAAGTGCTGGGATGACAGGCATGAGCCAACGTGCCTGGCCTACAAACAATCTTACAGAGTTGAGTTTATTTTTCCCTTTTACGGATGTGGAAACAGGTTCCCAGAGCTTGAGTAACTTGCCTACAGTTGCACAGCTAAACGGTGGCTGAGCTGAGGTTTGAACCCAAAGCCTTTCTGTCTTACAAAGCCCCTTATATAATGTAAATCTGCCTCCGTCAGCCTCAAATCTCCAAGGGGTCCTTGTCCCTGAAAAGGTTAAGAACTCCTGGCCAGATGCAGCAGCTCACAGCTATAATCCCAGCGCTTTGGGAGGTCGAGGCAGGTGGATCACCCGAGATCAGGAGTTCAAGACCAGCCTCGCCAACACAGTGAAACCTTGTCTCTACTAAAAATACAAAAAAATTAGCCGGGCGTGGTGGTGCGCACCTGTAGTCCCAGCTACTCAGGAGGCTGAGGCAGGAGACTTGCTTGAACTCGGGAGTTGGTGGTTGCAGTGAGCTGAGATTGCACCACTGCACTCCAGCCTGGATGACAGAGTGAGACTCTGTCTCCAAAAAAACAAGGTTATGAACTCCTGAGCCTGCACATACTTCATTTTAGGGATGAGGAAGCTGAGGCCCAGCAAGGGAAAGTAACTGATCCATGGTCACACAGCAAATCTATGCCAGGGCCGAGGCTCCAGCCCTCTTTCCATAAGCTTCTGTCCTCTTTGATTGGGCCTTGGTTAATGATCAGCTCTTCTCAATCTTACAGGGTTAGTTCCTGGTGTCGGCGTGGCTCCTGGCGTTGGCGTGGCTCCTGGAGTTGGCGTGGCTCCTGGCGTTGGTGTGGCTCCTGGCGTTGGCGTGGCTCCTGGTGTTGGTGTGGCTCCTGGCGTTGGCGTGGCTCCTGGCGTTGGCATCGGCCCTGGTGGAGTTGCAGGTGAGTTTCATGAGTCAGTGAGCCTGAGGGGCCCCCGAAGCCTCCATCGGCCCCACCTCCATCTCTAATCCCCTCTCTCTTCCTCCAGGAGTGGGAGCCCCAGCGGCAGCGAAATCTGCTGCCAAGGCAGCCGCCAAAGCCCAGCTCCGTGAGTGCCTCGCCCACCTTTCTCTCCTCTCCCCAACGAGCCCAGAGCTGGTTAGGAGCAACGGCCAGGGCAGAGGCTGCTGCTTGGATCTGGGCCCCTTCCTTTGGGACTAGTTTCAGCTCCCTGGGCAGGACACCTCCTCAGGGGCCTGCTCCCTGCCTGCTGTCGCCACCACTGCCCTCTGTCTACAGGAGCTGCAGCTGGGCTTGGTGCTGTTCCTGGACTTGGAGTTGGTGCTGTTCCTGGACTTGGAGTTGGTGTCGGCGTCCCTGGACTTGGAGTTGGTGCTGGTGTTCCTGGCTTCGGGGCAGGTGCGGGTGAGGGGGGCTTCTAGGGGTTAGGCGGAGCCTGTCCCCTGAGCTCAGGGAATGAGATCCCTCCTACTCCCAGCACCTCCCCAGCACCCCCTCACCACCCAGGGGTGCATAGTAAAATCCTCGTTAGGTTCTCCTAAGTATCTGGGGGTAACGGACAGCGGGAGGAGGGCAGACCAGGCCAAGAGACCCCAGGCTGCCCAATTGCAGAGTATCTGCCTCCTCAGTAGAGGGGTGGCAGGGCTGCAGACTGAGAAAAAGCTCGCCCTCCACCCAGGGAAGGAGCAGGTAGATCAGCGTGGCTCCCTTTCAGCAGTGCTCTGTGGCCAGGGGGCCACTAGGAACTCCAGATCTTCACCAGCTGGTTACTGAGCCCCACTCTGTCCTCAGCCTCAGGCAGGCCATGCTAGGCCTGAGGAGAGAAGGAGGGGCCAGATGGAAGGCAGAGGCACTGTTCAGCCCTAAAGCTCTGTGCCTGTACAGCTTCAGGGCTTTGAGGAAGCAAAAGGCCAAGGAGGTCAGAGAGGGCTTCCTAGAGGAGGCAGTACAACTCCCAGGTACAGAGCTCGACTGCTGACCACCCCCCCGACTTTTCTTTCTCCCCAGTACCCGGAGCCCTGGCTGCCGCTAAAGCAGCCAAATATGGTGAGTGCACCCCACAACCACTTGTGGCTCCCTTGCCACCACACCATCCCTGACAGCACAGGACTCGGGTGGTCACGATAGAAAAAGGCAGTTTCGGCCGGGCATGTTGGCTCACGTCTATAATCCCAGTACTTTGGGAGGCCGAGGCGGGCAGATCACCTGAGGTCAGGAGTTCCAGACCAGCCTCACCAATATGGTTAAACCCTATTTCCACTAAAAATACAAAAATTAGCCAGGCGTGGTGGTGCGCACCTATAATCCCAGCTACTGGGGAGGCTGAGGCAGGAGAATCACTTGAACCCAGGAGATGGAGGCTGCAGTGAGCCGAGATCACACCACTGCACTCCAACCTGAACGACAGAGCAAGACTCTGTCTCCAAAAAAAAAAAAAGGCAGTTTCTAGGACACATTTATGACAGTTTAAAAACCTGGCCCCTGCCCACTAAATGCTTGTGGTGCCTTCAACCCCTGTGACCACCAAAAACACCCTTGAAATCCCAGTTGCCCCCCAGGAGGTAATTCCACCGTCCCTAAGCCCGCTCTGACCCTGACAGTTTCATAGTCCCTGCGTCCAGGAAGGGGCTGGGCCTGCTGTGGGTATGAGGAGTCTGGACAGTCTCTGCCTCCACCCCAGCTCTCTGGCCCGAGCAGAGGAACTGGTATTCCTCATCTGGGCACCCCCGGCCCCCCGCCTGCCTTCCTGTCCTGCCAGCAGGACTGCTCCCGCCACGAGCCAGCCCAGAGGATGTGGCAGTCCCACAGCCTCTGCGCTTGGCGCTCTGGCAGCCCCACCTGGCCAGACCCACGCTGTCTGTAGCCCCTGCATTCCTGGCCTCCTGTAAGCAGAGTTAGAGGGAGGTAGAAGACTCCCCCAGGGATCCACCAACCGACCGGGCAGGTCCACTTGGGGCCAGTTTCTACCTTGGAAAATCCTGGCTTCTTCAGCCCTGACCCCCAGCGGCCCTGCCTCCTCCCCTGCTCACTGCTGACTGCTTGGCAGGCCTGAGTCAACAGACATTGCCAGGGAAACAGAGTGACGTCACGTGGTGGAGCCACGAAGGGCGCAGGCTCCCCAGCCACTTCCTGTCCCTGAAGCCCTGAGCACACTGCTTAACCTCTGCTCTACCTCAGCATTCTCATCTGCAAAATGGGAATGACAATAGTGCCTACCTTTCCTGCTGCAATGCATAAAAAATGGGCTGCTGAGTGTGAAGCACTCAGAATGTTAAGTGCCTGCTGTAGATACTATTGCCATTGTTTGTTTGTTTGTTTTGACAGAGTCTTGCTCTGTCGCCCAGGCTGGAGTGCAGTGGTACGATCTCAGCTCACTGCAGCCTCCACCTCCCAGGTTCAAGCGATCCTCCTGCCGCAGTCTTCCAAATAGCTGGGATTACAGGCACGCATCACCACGCCTGGCTAATTTTTGTATTTTTAGTAGAGACCGGGTTTCACCATGTTGGCCAGGCTGGTCTCAAACTCCTGACCTCAGGTGATCCACTAGTCTCAGCCTCCCAAAGTGCTGGGATTACAGGCGTGAGCCACCGCACCCGGCCTACAAAAGAACTTTTAAGGCTAGGCACAGCGGCTCACACCTTCAGGAGGCTAAGGCAGGAGGATCGCTTGAGCCCAGGAGTCGGAGGCTGCAATGAACTATGATTGTACTACTGCACCCCAGCCAGGGTGACAGAGCAAAACCCCATCTCAAAACAAAACAAAACAAGGACTGGACTTCCTGTCCGCTGCTCCTCCCCTGTGTCACATGGCCCCTGCCACCTGTCTGCTTGTGTTGTTGTTCCTGGGGCAGGGAGACCCATTGTTCAGAAATGGGCCACTCATCTTCTTTCCTCTCCACGCAGGAGCAGGAGTGCCTGGGGCCCTTGGAGGGGTCGGGGCTCTCGGTGGAGTAGGCATCCCAGGCGGTGTGGTGGGTGAGTTGAAACCCCAGGAGGGGCTGGCTGGGGAGAGAGGCTAATCAGTACTGAGTCCCTCCCTGAACTCGGTATGTATTCCCAGGAGCCGGACCCGCCGCCGCTGCTGCTGCAGCCAAAGCTGCTGCCAAAGCTGCCCAGTTTGGTGAGCACTGGGTGGAGGTGGGAGCTGCTGCCAGACCCCCAGGCCCCCAGGGTGTGGGAGGAGCCTCTGACCAGGCACTGTAGACTCAGACTTCCTGCCCCAGACACCTCCTGGCTCCACTGTGCCATCGAAGGCCGGGAGAGCTCAGGCTCCACCTGGGTCCCCAGAGGACACCTCCACCCTCCGCAGGCTGAGGCTTCAGTCCCACCTTTCTGACCGGCAGAGTCCAATGCTGAGCTCTCTCCACAGGCCTAGGGGGACCTGCTGGACTCGGAGTCGGAGGACTCGGAGTCGGAGGGCTTGGAGTCGTCCCAGGTGTTGGGGGCCTTGGAGGTAAGAGTTGTTCTGAAATCAGTGAGTGCGTGGAGTGTGTGTATGAGAGACAGAGATGGAGACAGAGACAGAGACTTTCTTTCCCAGCCCTGCCACGTCTTTGCTCAAGACGTCCTCTCGGCCAGGTGTGGTGGCTCACACCTACAGTCCCAGCACTCTAGTAGGCCAAGGTGGGTGGATCACCTGAGGTCAGGAGTTTGAGACCAGCCTGTGTGACATGGTGAAACCTCATCTTTACCAAAAATACAAAAGTTAGCCAGGCATGGTGGTGGGCGCCTGTATTCCCAGCTACTTGGGAGGCTGAGGCCAGAGGATCTCTTGAGCCCAGGAGGCGGAGGCTGCAGTGAGCTGAGATGGTACCACTGCATTCCAGCCTGTACAGCTAAAGTGAGACCCTGTTATTAAAAAAAAAAAAAA